TCGACATCGAGTCCAAGAAGTCAAAGGCGCCGATGAAATGTTTGGCACAATTCAAGTGCAAACTCTGTCTCACGAATCGATGCGGTTATCAAATGCACTCAATCTGGTCGTGTGGATGCGCTTTCTGTAAGCCTGTGAGTACATCCAACACATCCCTTTCCCCCCATTGTTTTATCACTTTACCATTACTCTTATGCTACGGTTCATTATTCGTCAAATGATAGCCTAACCATTGTGTTTGTCTGAGTATTAATATATCTCTAATCGTTTTGTTTATATATTTCATACAATTATTGTTATTCTTTACGAGACTTAATTAATTGAATAGCATTTGTGTGTCAATGAGTGTGAGAGCCCACACGTAACTGTCAGTCCCTATCAACTAGTTTTCACTTTCAATTACCCTTTACAGTGTACTCTTATTAATGTAAATGTTCCTTGCTCTATATATAGTGTACAAATATATTAATTATTTAATGTTTTGGCATTTAATTCATGCTATAAATCATGTTTGAGGGCAACGCTTATATACAGCAATGTCTGATCATTTTTGAGTAAACATCAAATTCTTGGCCTTTTTTTGTTGTTGAAAAGTATAAGTATAAAATTCTTGGATAAGTATTTCTAAAATTTGAATTTCAAAAAATATTACTTATCTTAAAAATTCATATTTTATTTAAATAAGAATTCATTTATTCATTAATCTATTTTTGATAAACACTTATTGAGAAATGACTAGAATATTGCCAAATAAATGGCACAATATTTTCACTAAAGTAATCATTGAGCTACTCAGACATCTAATTGACTATTATATCGAATATATTCATTACTAAAAGACTTTATTTTTCTCTGAAGACTTACGATTACATAACAATTTACATTAATGAATACGTCTGAATAAAATGAAAATATGTTTTCACTTTTCTCACTGGTATTCATTGATGTACGGAATATATCCCATAATTCCTGTGAACTATTTATTTGAGAGCAGTTGTATAAATACACTGCAGTCTATTCACTATATTAAGTAATATAATACTTCTTTGAATGCAAGCCTAAGTCCAAACCTAAATCCACTGAAAGACATGTCATTAAAATCTATTTACAATATTTGTATAAAACTTTTTTAGCTATTAATGTTTAAGTTAAAAATTGTGATTTCGCATGTTTATTCATAGAATAATTAGAAGTGCAAACTCTATATTTATAATTGAATTATTCGCTGAGTGTTTACAAATGTCACTTGCACATATAATGATTTAGATAGAAAAAATTGTTTATAACCATCGACTCAATCACATTCTTATATTTGATTTAGTTTTCTATTCCATAAATAAAAATGCTTTCAGAATATTCTATAAATAGGCGAAACTTGTGTTTTTAATGTTAACACTCGAGTTAAACAGTAATTAATTGCTTCTTTCCATCCATTACTACCCACTCGTCGTGTATGTCATCTCATGGCTATAGTGTTTGACCCAATACTGCGAAATGTCAATACGCGAGGGAAAGGTATCTCTCATCACATGTCCGGACGGGTCGTGTCCTGAATACGAGAACAAAAGCAATTTGATATCCGCGCGAGAGATCCAACTCCTGGTGTCCACCGATGTGTACGACTCCTACAAACGCTATCGCCTTA